GTAATTCCCGAAGCAAGGTTATTTACCTTACCTCCCCGCGAGGCAGGATGCGGCACAAGGCCGTTTTTAATGAGGGGCGTAACCGAGCCCGTAGACTCGGGCAAAAATTCCCCGTAGACCCCTTAAAAAACGGGGTCGGGTAGCTGTCTATCACCCCAGACGAGGCTCTGCCCTTCGGCGTAGCCTCGCCTAGGTTCCTCTCCACCCGAAGGCAGAGAGTTCGCCGAGCACAGCTGGATACGAATCTCCAATTGCCGAAGCAAGTCCCAGGTATACCCGGTGCTCACTATATATATGTTCTGATACAGTCAGTCCACAATAGGCGATAGGGAGTGTGGGACATTCCTTTACAACAAATCCTCACTTGTTGCTCCATACATTCGGCCTTGTGTCACATCTAAGCTACGCTTAGAAAATCACTGGGCACTTCAATGTGGTGTAATGGTTAGCAATCTTGTCTCGCTAGATCAAGTACGACTGAATAGTGAGTTCGATCCTCACTGGTTGTCTTATACTTCTGTAGATGACAAGGACTCATGGTCTGAGTGATTTAAACACTGTACATTCATTCAGGAATAAAAGTTGATTTTAAAATCGGACATTATTTTCTGAACAACTTAATATAATATATAAAGTTATTCGTTAGCTCTACCAGTTTAGCAGAAGGACACAAATATAAAGCATCAGCAAAATATAATCACATGAGCAATGATTATTAAGAATACTGCTAATTACCTTCAGTGTCTTCAGACAGTTCAAAATATGTTATTATTAGATTCTAAAGGAAATCCTGTCACATTTGAAGATAGAAAAGAAACAAATTCTTTTTCGGTCTTAACTGATATTTTTTTAATCAAGATAATATTTCCCACGTCATTGATAACATAATCCCATCTATTTGGAAAACTGTTGATCCCTCGGGCATACAATTCTTCATGTTTCAATGCAAAGAAACACTCAGTATATGTTTTAACCTCTTCACTAATAATATATTGTTTTCCTTCTAAAAATGTTGCAATCATCTAAAAGATGATAGTCAGATGGAACAAGACCAGGAGAATGAAGATGTTGGGGAGAAACTTTCATATTTAGTGCAATAATCTTTTCTTGGGTGACTCGATAAACATGTAGTCGTGTAAGAGCAACACGTCTTTACGTTTAATCAATGATGGAAACTTTTCCGCAAAGTTTTGTACAATGCTTTCAATTGACAAAAATACTCTGTATTAAATGTTCCGTTTTAGTTTAATACTTCATGATAGACAACAATTTTGATATCAAACACAGAGCATAGCGTTTTTGTTGGGTGAAGTCCTGAATTGGGGATGGATTCTCTTTTTTCAGTAGTGGGTAACCGTTTTCGTTGGATATGATTACAGAGAATTCACCTTTTATCACAGGTGATGATTCTATCCAAGAATGGTTTAGTTGCAAATCTACACTTCAATGACGAGCAGACGCCAACTCTGATTAACCTGAATGGCAATCAGTTGATAAGGAACGCTTTGACGAAGTTTAGACACTTTTCCAAGTTCATGAAGGTCTTTCATGATTGAAGTATGATTTGTATTGAACTGCTTTGCTAATTCACTTGCAGTTTTCTTCGGGTTTTTCTCAACTACGACTTCTAGAAGCTTAATATGTACAGAACTTGATCGTCCAGGTTGCGGAATCTTCGAGAGAAAAAAATTCTATATTAAATCATGTCAAGCTATCGTTAGCATGTATGAACACATCGAAAGTAGGAATATTTCTTACCGCTTCCGTTGTTGAAGAGACGTTTTTGAATTCAGACAACATTATCTGATAGGGGGCTGAGATAAACACATTTGTAAAGAGTAAAATCGAACCAAAAGTATATTAAATAAAAACTTTAGAACGTAAATATTAATGGTTATTTTACCATGCCGAAAAAGTACTCTCAAAGTGTTCACATCAAGAAGGCGATCAAGCTTTTTTCTCCAACCTAATATATAATATATATTTTTCGGTATTCACTCTGTTTAATTTAATCTAGCTGAGCGTTCATTGTGCATTATATTATACAGGGTGCGATGGATAAGTTTTCGTCTAATTTACGCAAAAATGAAAATAACACTGACATCTCTGCGTCCAGAAATATACCCAGCATCGGGCATTATAATTTCTATTTTTAATCGAGACGATATTTTTGTATCCGACGTTTGATTAATAAATTGTTCCTTGTTTTTTATTACTATATATATATATATATATATATATATATATATATATATATATATATATATCAAGAGTGAACACAGACTGTTTCAGACGCAATCATCAGCCGATGATTGTGTTTAGACATAAAACAGGTCTGTCGCATCTGAGTTTGACTAAAATGTTCACTTTATATTTACATACGCTCTATCCCTGATATTGAGCACTTTATTCCATAAATATAACACACCTTAAAAACTAAATTTATATATATATATATATATATATATATATATATATATATATATATAGATAGAGAGAGAGAGAGAGAGAGAGAGAGAGTATTAACAGAAATTAGGCTTGTAAGTGTCATATGTTTTAGCCTTTAAATAATCCATAAAAGAATCGATAAGCCGTAAAAAAAACAAATCAAATCAATCAACACTTCATAGTCACTGACAATAATTTTATTTTTGATTTTCCAAAGAACAATAGATAGATTTTGTGCAAAAAGTAGAATTCAGATAAAATAGTTGTAAAGATGCAGACAAAAGCATCAACTGGTATTTGTTGCCGACTCGCCAATTCCAGACACTACACACACACACACATACTCACACACACACACACACACACACACATACATATATATATATATATATATATATATATATATATATATATATATTAACACACCTCCTCCCCGTCATTACTTTCGGTGCCACATTAAGAAATTTAAGTCCTTGTGGTGTTGTCTGTAATTATTTCACTGAGTTAACCACCTGTTCAGACCTTGGCGGTCAAAACCGCGGTAGTGTTCCATTCAGCGTTTTATTATTTTAGAATATTAAATCTAATTAAATTTTATTTTTCTAGCTTGATATTGAGCACTTTATAACACATACTATTTTAGTGTATATATATATATATATGGGCGTGTGTGTATATGTGTGTGAGTGTATGTGTATATGCGTGTTATTTATATATTAATAATATTATTATTCATATAGTATTGTTATACTCCAATGGGGATATTAAAAAGTAAATTTTACAGTTTATACATAAATATATAAAGCAATAAGACAAAGTGTTCAATGCTTTAACGGTGAAGAGAACAGAGCAATCGAAGATAGAGTTGAAATAAATGTACCAACGCGTCGGCTTGTTCAATTTCTCTTTATTTCGGTTCGTCAAGGTGCGCATGTGTGGAATGAAATACATAATTATATTGTTTAAGATGTGTCGTGTTTTACAGAAGAAGAGTAGTTAATATCTAGTAAGAGCGCTTGTAGATATAAATAATGTGAAGAGATTATTTTAAATCTTATTTTAGTGGATGCTCCTGAAAGTAAGAAATAATGGATTAAAATTAAAATTAATTTCTTAAAAATTACACACACGCACACACACGCACACACACACACACACACACACATATATATATATATATATATATATATATAGGTATAACAAAAACTAGCTTTCTCAGCAATGCTTAACTCATTTACCTATGAAATAGTATACATATGAAATAGTATACATATGAAATAGTATAAAATTACAATGAATTTCTATAGCAGAATCACAAAAACGCATGCAAATACACTCATATATAATGCAGATATTTGAGAACACAGCTTTAGTGGAAGTTTACCTAATGCAATGTGTAATGCGCCAAATTTGAACATTGTCAATTTTCTTTTGACTTATCGAGAACATTAACAAGACAGTTTCCAGCCTGAGACCGGAAATGAAACAACATACCACACTTGTGGCACTGTCCGACAATCATAGTGACTCGGTGATATCCAGCATCTTGAATGTGGCTAAATGAACAGAACGAACGACAGGTGGTTCTGCGCGAACCACAGGAAGGTAGTCATGGTGATGTACAGTAATTTCACGTCATCTTTGATGGTTTTGCCTCCGAATTTATAGATAGCAGTAAATGGTTGGTTTAATACACCTCAGAAGTATGGACGCTTCAGCAACAGAATTTGTATCCGTTATTGCAACCTTATCTGTTGAAGTCATGGCAACAATTTCTTCTTTAGTGTTACATTCTCAAAATACAATGAATTAACACTATTTTATCCATGTAAAGATAATTTTTAATTTAAAAAAAAAGCTAGACATTTTAGACAAGTTTATGTATGCACTTACAATCAGTAGATGGCCATCCATTTATTTCAAAGAAATCTTATGAATAGCAGATTGCACCTGTGAAGAAATTATGCTACGAAAGTTTGTGTCAATATTTACTTTAATTTATAGCGCCTGTCATTGCTTCACAAAAAGATCTGACCTTTATTAAATTAAGTAAAGGCACAGAGGAATTTGATACCTTTATTAATATAAATTCCTAAACCTTTTCTGCAAACTAAAAACAAATATCGTAACATACAAAAAAAAATGTAAATATATACATATTTGGAGTGTTACTCTAACAGTGTCAAACAAAATCTATACGTGTAAATGACGGATGTAAAGGAAAGGAAATACATTTCAACAAGACGTTATTTTCATGTGTCTTTACGATTGATTGATCCATTTTCTACAGCTTATCGACCATTTGCAGGTTATTTAAAGCCAGAAAATATTCTTCCATTGTAAGAATGTTTTTTGGAGGTGAGGAGATAATAATCGTTTAGTGATACAAATTATACTAATTAAACCATAGCTGGCAGGAGAAGAGGTGCGTTCATAAATTTCCTGAGGTTATTTGCATGTAAGTGAATAGAAAGAACCCAACTAAAATTAGAACTAGGCACTCCGATTAACAATTTTGAGCCATTATCCATTACACCAGCCGTACATCCAAGCTTACAGCACTTGGTATTCCCAAGTGGTCACCAATATAGGTACTGACTAGGCTCGACGTTGCTTAACTTGGGTGATCGTACGGGAGCCGGTGTTTCAACGTGATGTGGCCGTAAGCGACGTGAATTTTATATAAAAGAATAACAAAGGACAGAAAACGCACTAGTATGCTTGTAAAAGAAAATAGTAAAAGTTAGCAATTATAAATTATGTGTATAATACACGCGCATGTTTGTGTGTGTGTGTGTGTGTATGGAAGTGATAAGTCGTTTGACTCACCGTTATATATAATTTAGTATATACTTTTGCTTCACCTTTTATATATATTTTATTTATACCTGAATTTTATATATATTTTATTATATATATATATGAATTTTATATAAATATATATATATATATATATATATATATATATATATATATATATATATATATATATATATATATATATATATATATATATATATATATATATATATATATATATATATATATATAAAAATATAGATAACTATATTTCGAAAAACCCTCGAATTTTTGATTTGCTAATCAAATCAATCTCGAGGAAAAAAAAGGTTTTAAAAAAGAAAGAGCTACAAACATGAACTTCTGCCGACAAAAATCGCACAGATGCAGGTCTGAAGCCCAAAAAAAAAAACCCGATACGAGTAACAACTAACTAACAAAAGAGCTCAATACAACCGTAGAGCAGACCTAGATACACCTAGTGAGCCAGACAAACCTACCTAGGTTAGCCAAACTTTCCCTGACGATCCGTTTAGGTGAAACCTAGGTAGGTTTGTCTGGCCCACTAGGTCTATCTATCTATCTATCTATCTATCTATATATATATATATATATATATATATATATATATATATATAGCATTTTATATACTGATAAAGACGAAATAATATATATAGACCATCCCACTTCCCAATGTTTGAGCATTATTTTGTCCCTATTAGAGTGTTAGATTACATTGCAAAATTCCAATTTACAGGATTATGGAGCTTATTTTTAAAATTTTCATATCATTGACTGAATGATATCAACTGAAAAAGTGACATTTTCAATTTTTCGGGGTCGCTATAAAGTTCCTGTTAGCGATAAAGAAAATTCCAAAGGAAGTCATAATGTCATATAATGCAAACAGTGGTTGACGCGTTCCCGACATCGTTAAAAGTCTAAAGATGATGCGTCAAATTCTAGCATGGAGATTTTCAGATCCACGTTTTCGATAGAATCAACTTTTGAAACTGTTGATCATATCCACGACGTAATCGACAGATCTCGACCAAAAGACACGAGAGATATCCAGGAAACGCGTTAATTTGTAATTTATGAGCAGTTTCGTACGCAGAAACCGTCTGCCACGGAGGTGTCCAAATATTTAAATGGCAACCTGAAGTGATATCGAGTTATCATCTCCAAGTCGCTTTCTTTATTTACATGCGGACTATTGACCTCATCTCTGTTCTCATTATTACAATGTTTCGTTCGTTGTGTCCTCCGGCTTTCGTCAGGAGCTTGTCGATCCGGGTAACCTGCAGTGAATTTCGGACGGAACCCTTATTTAATCTACGCGGGTAGATTGTGCTTGTTTCGTTGTCCATGTCTAGGGATATCCCCCATGAGACAATAGCCGAGCGGATTAATGTATCGGTTCGTGAATTTGTTGAATTAGCAATTATGAGTTCAATCTATTCAGTGGGAACATAGCGAGCAATAAATTAGCTACACTAAGTAAGAACTAGATGAGATATCCCTAGACACAGTCAGAGGAACGAGATCAATATATCCCGGTAGATTAAATTCGAAAAAAAAAAAACTGAAGGGTAACTGTGTCAACAGACACCGGATGAAGGTTGGAGAGCAGAATGACCGAAACGTTCTGATAATAACAAGGAGACCATAGTCTGATTGTAATTGATATAAATCATGATAACTCTCCATCACAGAAATCTAGATAGAGGCCTCCAAGTTGATTTTGCGGGATTTTCAGCGATTTAGTGATAATATTTTTAACAACTTTTCACTGTTGATAAAATACAGTTACACTACTCTGCTTCGGAAATCAAACAGTCTACACTGTAGTGGTACACGGTTTTCCCATTATTGAAGAAATTGAAAACAACAGGAAACGTCATCGTCATGTTTTTGTTTTTTTTGTGGCGAAGTGGATATGAAAATTGTCTTGATGACTGAATATCTTTCACAGGGTTAAACAATCAATATAGCATATTACTTTAAGTTGTACTGATTAAAGAAAACGTTAAGAGAAAACAGAGAAGTTAGTTAAGAAAAGGTGTTCTCTTTTTGCAGGACAATGCACCTGCTTAGGGTGTAAGCAAGATGTATGTTTTGAAGAATTTGCTTTTGTTGCATCTGACTATTTCCTGTTTCTAAAATCTCAAAAGGAATTTGAAAAGAATAACATTTTCCAATAGTTCGAATGTAATAATAGCAGTATTGAAATAACCAAACATTAGAATAATTTTGGAAGCGATGTAGCGGTTATCGGTATGGCGAGCAGAGTTCAAATTCCGGCTTATTATGTGGTGTTCACTTTTACGCTCAACCCTCTGTGTATATCATAAATCAGTTTCTTTCTCTCATTCCCATCTATGGGTTAAATAGCGGGGTAGAGTGTATTCTATAGTTTTGGATAGCAGTCATTCTGACCAGCCTGAATTAAAAATCGCGAAGAAACGATTGATAATAACGAAAAGGAATCTGTGGAAAATAATGATCGCCTGTATACTGAAGGGACATGGTATTTAAAAAAGAAACTTGATAATGTGGTGTAAATATGTAGTAAAGCTTGTACTTTCTCGCACACCTTGTATAAGATAAAACAATATAATACATTTTATGTATTCTTAAAGAATAACGTTTATATACTTCAATATCTGTTTATATTTCTGAGATGAGGTATTGTAACTACTTACACTATTTACATTGTTCGGTCTGTTGTCCCCATCTTTGTTGCCATATTCACGACGTTTCAGTCGTTGTGTGATCCGGCTTTCTTCAGGTGATTAGAATTTCGTCTACCGGGGTAGATTGTTGTTATGTGCCACGCCTCTACCAGATATCTTAGTTTCAGTTATTTCCCTTTAATAACACAACTTTTTTTTTGTTCACCTCTGCTGTGGCCAGGTATTGCCAGGTATTGAACTCATAACTCTTTGAGTAAAGTCACTGGATTACTTCAACTAACACTTTTATCCAGTGGGCCATAATATAAAATAATAATATATGGCAATGTTAATATCAGCCCTTTCCTTATAAGGAACCATTCGCTATTCATTGATCAAGTAGACAGTGCTGGTGTTGGTTGAAATTTATAAAATCTTTCTCTCAAAACAGTTTTTGGGAAAATAGATTTCTCAACTCCGCTGTTATCACTCTTTCTAGTATTGATGATAGCTACCTTACTAACCTTTTATTTGAAGTAAACTAGAACGTCAACCTTATGATTATGTCATTATTTTCTCTTTGTGTGATATTCCTTTTAGTTATTACTACTTCTTGAAAGTCCTCAAGTAATGTGGTTTCAGTTACCTGGTACAGTTCTTTGCGATTCTCTAGTGCCAGTCTGCAATGTTCGAAGAAGGGTGGTCTTCGCCAAGATCCACAGGTTTCACTTGCTCAGAGCCATTTTAAAACACTGACCCTAAACGCGGTTGTATATAGTTGACAGTTTAGATATTTCTGAACGGGTTTAGTACCATGCATGACATCTATATGACAGTCTCCATAAGATCAGCTATTTAAGAACATGACTCGAGCTTTCCGATTAATGTTTTAGTTATGTATTAATTTGCGGTGTCGAGCGAAACTACCTCTAGCGCAGCCTATTCTATGTTCAGTTTCCTCATTTTCTACACTAAATTTTATATAACTGATCCATATGTCTAAGTATCTCAAGTGTTTGGAATTTAATAATTCAACATCATATTTTTTGACGGATTCAGCTAGGTACCATCACTGCTTTCGTTCCAATTCCAGATAATTGATTAAATTGATTATATTACCAGCATAGTATATTGGCCTTGAGAGCAAAAGCAGAATCACTGGTTTTTATTAGTTGATTCGTTTGGGATGTGGTATGGAATGCTTAAATGATCAGTACCCATCTCTTCAAATGTATGTTTGTAAATGTGCAGGGAATTTACAAACATACACGTGGAGAAAGAATTACGTAATTAAGAATTATTTAGATGGATCAATAAGTCCTTAGCTTGAGGCAGAACTTAGCTGTATTTATTTTTAAGGCAATTCACCCCAAGCAAGGCGGGAGTGCCACTAGCACGCAAGGGGTTACAGTGGATAGAGAACAAGAGTAAAGAGGAATATCCCGTAGACTCCCTAAAAAAATAAAAGATAGATTCCCTGAAGAGTATAGGGCCACAACCTTCAGCACGCTAGGTATTGTTATTATGGCTTCCATAGCTATCAGATTTTTAGTGGATGTAATTGTGAACCCCATGCCTAACTGGTTTTGAATTCAGAATAATTCACATACACATGAACACATAAATAAAATAAGAGGTGGCGGGTTACATCTATTAGATATGTAGTTATGTGATATCACAGTAGGTCCGGGACACATTAGCGGCACTGAATTCAAAAACTCTTTTGTTTTTGGTGTTAACTACGGCGACGGAACAGGATGGCAGTAAGGTAGGAACTGTATTTCGACGATTTCCTTCCTTCCTGCTTTCGTCACGAACGCATATACTCGAAAATTTCTTAAACACTTAAAATACTTGATGTCAGTGTAGTAAATATGCCCTGTTAGGCATTTTGCATGTTACTCTTTGTATTTTAGATATTTCGGGCATAGATGCGACATATACCTCAGCTGAAACACATCTAAATATATGCATACTAGCAGTAGAGCCCGGCGTTGCCCGGGGATGTAACAGTAAGAGATAGATCAAGTATCGACCATCATAAAGACTGAAAAATAAAATTGACAAAGATTATTGCTTAAGGTTGACGAACACGCATGTCTTAATTAGTATTTTTTGTTTTTTTACGAATTGGTCAAACCCAAACTCAAACAAAAACATTGTTTTCAATCGTTATGAGTCTACCGATTGAA